CCGGGGCCCCCCGCGGGCGGGGGAGCACGGGGGTCCCGGGGCGTCGGAGTGGACGCGGAGGTGGCGAGGAGAAAGGAGCGAGCCTGCAGATATTCGGGACAGTTTCCTGGCGGAGGACCGGGGCAGGAAGCGCCCCTTCCAGGCTCAGGTGTTGGCCGTTATTGATCGCCCACTATGTGCCGGGCTGTTTGCCAGCTCCATCTCATCAGTCTCTCACTAACTCCTAGAACAACCCTCCTAGATAGATGCTGCCATGAGCCCCACTTTCAGACGGGGACCCCGAGGCCCAGAGAGTGTCAGGAACTTGTCTAGGGTCCCGAAGCTGCGAGTAGCAGCGCCTGCCTCGGTGGGACCCATTGCCTTGCTCTCTGACACATCCCCCCCCCCCCCCCCCCCCCCCCCCGCACATTTTCTTTCGAGAGTGAGTATGGTTGAGTTATCTTTAGGGTTTAGGCAAGAATCATGTTCAGTTTAGTTTTGTTTACTTGACATGTTGTATTTGAACTTTGCCTGCATGCCTAGAAGCTGGAAGGCCATGGACATTGCACCCTAATGAAATCCCAAAGCACTTCCACCTCCTCTCAGACACACACAGCTGGGACCATCCTTTAACCCCATGAAGCAAAATAGGTTGGAAAAGAAAGCTCTTTCCACCCTCTCAAAATTTAAAAAGGGAAAAAACTGTTTAGGAGTGAATATTCATAAAACAACATCTTGTATCCACAAATGTAACAAAATCTCTAGGAGATATTATGAGCAAATTTACTTTTGCATTAGTTCTATCAAATTGTTAATGTCCCTTATAGAGTTGACTGCTAGTCTCAGTGTTATATCAAGAATATGCTTCAGCCCAGCCAGTGTTGCTTAGTGGTTGAGTGGATGGCCACACGGGTAGGCAGGGACCCAGCCAGGACCGGGGTCGCGGTTTTGGCGCGGCCGTCACAGCGGGTGAAGATATTAGGGACATCTTCCTTCTCTCCCAGACTTCGTGGCGCTGCTGACGGGGCCGAGGTCGCAGGCCGTGGCAAGGGCCCGAGTGATACTGCTGCGCTCTAGTCTGCGTTTCTCCATCTCCTACCGGCAGTGAGAACGGGCCAGGAGGGAGGAAGAGCGGGCTGGGCGCTGGGGCGGGAGAGCTGGGACAGGCTGGAGGGGCTGCTTCTGGCCCAGGCTCAGAGTCCGTGCTCCTCCGCACCCTCATTCCCAGGCTGGACCGTCCCACCCGAATCCGCTTCTCAGACTCCACTGGCAGCGTCCTGTTCGAACACCCTGCAGCTCCGACCCAAGATGGCTTGGTGAGATGATGCCATTTATGAGTGCTTATCTAGTTTGGACACTGTGCTGAGAGTGTGCTCTGCATTACCTCCTTTGGTCCTCACAACAGTCCAGTGGGAGGAAGGCACTGACATTATATGCCCATTTTACAGATGAGGAAATTGAGGCTCAGTAGCAGAATGTGATTTGCGCAAGGTCACACAGCTGTAAGTGGTGGAGCCAGGATTTGGACCCCTGGATTCCTTCTTCTTTTAAAAAAATATTTTTTATTGATTTTAGAGAGGAAGGGAGCGGGAGAGAGAGATAGAAACATCAATGATTAGAGAGAATCATTGATTGGCTGCCTCCTGCACACCCCCTACTGGGGATAGAGCCGGCAACCTGGGCATGTGCCCTTGGCCAGAATCGAACCTGGGACCCATCAGTCTGCAGGCCGACACTCTGTCCATTGAGCCAAACAGGCTAGGGGTGGATTCTTAAGCTTCCTAGGAGAGCATGGGGGCTCCTTCCCATATTCCTTCTTCATCAGATAGGCCTCTTCGCTGGCCTATCCTGCATACTGTTTGAGTAGGGTCTTCTTGTCTCTCTGCTCCAGGTGTGTGGGGTGTGGCGAGCAGTGCCTCGGTTGTCTCTGCGGCTCCTCAGGGCAGAACAGCTACATGTGGCACTTGTGACACGTGGATTCCTAGGAGAGCATGGGGGCTCCTTCCCATATTCCTTCTTCATCAGATAGGCCTCTTCGCTGGCCTATCCTGCATACTGTTTGAGTAGGGTCTTCTTGTCTCTCTGCTCCAGGTGTGTGGGGTGTGGCGAGCAGTGCCTCGGTTGTCTCTGCGGCTCCTCAGGGCAGAACAGCTACATGTGGCACTTGTGACACCCACTCATCCTTCAGGGGAGGTCTGGGGGCCCCTCATCCGGCACCGGGCTCTGGCTGCAGGTGAGGGGAGCAACAGCCCCTGGGCATGAAGCTCTGTCTTCTCTATACCGAGGAATGGAGTGGGCTGCGGAGGGGACTTTCTGATGGGCTCTCCTGGTCCTCCCTCTCCCAGAGACCTTCAGTGCCATCCTGACCCTGGAAGGCACCCCACAACAGGGCATAGGTGGCATCACCCTACTCACTCTCAGTGACACAGAGGACTCCTTGCATTTTTTGCTGCTCTTCCGTGGGCTGCTGGAATCCAGGAGTGGGGGTAAGTGGGATATGGGGAGGGCATGTGAGAAGGGCAGGGAGGGCACCTGGCTCTCAGCGGTGTCCACATGTACCATCGTTTCAGGACCAGCCCAGGTTCCCTTGCGGCTCCAGATTCTACACCAGGGGCAGCTGTTGCGAGAGCTCCAGGCCAATGCCTCAGCCCAGGTGAGCGAAGGTTTGGCTTTTGTTGCCACCTGCTCTGGCCTCTTTCTGCTCCCACCGATTATCCTGCTCTGTCCCTAGGACCCAGGTTTCGCTGAGGTGCTGCCTAACCTGACAGCCCAGGAGATGGACTGGCTGGTGCTGGGGAAGCTGCAGATAGCCCTGGAGAGGGCAGGTAGCCCAGGGTTGCGTATCAGTGGACACATTGCTGCCAGGCAGAGCTGCGATGGTGAGGCAGGGTGGAGCCTGGCTCCCTGGGCACACGCCACTGAGAGGCATAGACAAGTGCCAGGGGCAGGTCCAGGGTGGATATGGGAGGGATCCTGGGGGCTGGGGTATGAATGGCCATGGGGCCAGCCTGCCTCCACTTGTCTTGCCCCTCTGCAGTCCTGCAAAGTGTCCTTTGTGGGGCCGATGCCCTGATCCCAGTTCAGACAGGTGCAGCTGGCTCAGCCAGCCTTACACTGCTAGGAAACGGCTCCCTAATCTACCAGGTAAGTCAGGGGCTGCAGGAGGTGGAAGGGCAGTAGATTGAGGCAGAGATTTGGCCTGCAGTTCAGGCCCCAGGCCTTCTCTGCCACTCCAGTTTGCTCTACCCAACTCTGCCCACCAGGTGCAAGTGGTAGGTACAGGCAGCGAGGTGGTGGCCATGACGCTGGAGACCAAGCCTCAGCGGAGGGACCAGCGCACTGTCCTGTGCCACATGGCTGGACTCCAGTCGGGAGGACACACAGTGAGTGATACAGGCAGAGCTGGGCCACAGGGCCCATGTACCACAATGTGGGGTTGTGGGAAGCGAAGTTGGGTGGGCAGATAGGTTCAGCATCATTCACTCATTCACAGGCTCTCTCATTGATACATTGATTCACTGGACACATTTTTAGTGAGACTCAGGCCAAAGAGTACAAAGAAAATCAGATATGGCCCCTGTCCTCAGCAAGCTCATGTCAAATGAGAGGAGTAAGACAGGGAGACCAGTGCAGGAGATCACATACTAATTGTGAGAGCAATGGCTGCCGCTTATTGAGCCTTTCTAGGTGCCACGTACTAGACTGGTTGCCTTATATTATTTTTGGCCCTCGCAGTACCCATTTTAGAGATGATGAAGTGAAGGATCAGAGGTTAACTCTTCAAGGTTATTACATACGTAGGAAGTGGCAGAGAAGGGACTTGAACTTGGGCCTGCAAGGTTCTTATTCAGTGTTACTGGTGTGGGGAAGTGTCTATGGGTGTAGTGGGGGCACAAAACATGGAAAGGCTTCAGAATCTTAGGCTTGTGTGAAAGCTGAGGAGGGTTCACCTGGGGTCTGGCAGGCTCCAGCTAGGGCTCACCCTTCACTGTCCCCTAGGCCATGGGCGTCTGCCCTGGGCTGGGTGCCCGAGGGGCTCATATGCTGCTGCAGAATGAGCTATTCCTGAACGTGGCCACCAAGGACTTCCCAGATGGAGAGCTGCGGGGGCATGTGGCTGCCCTGCCCTACAGTGGGCACAGCGCCCGCCATGACAGTGAGTGCCCATAGGTTTGCCTGCCCTTTGCTACCCTCTAATCAGTGACTCACGTACATAAGGGATGGTGTCAGAGCGCTAGAGCCTGATGTGTCTTTCTCTGCCTGAGCTCTAGGTTTGCATCCGGAGATGTACAGGTGGGATGTAAAGGGTGGCCCTCCTGGGAGACCCTCCCTGTTGCGATGGTGCAGGGGTCTAAAACTTGCTGCTCCCCCAGCCCTGGGCTTATGGGCAGTGTCTGCCAGCTCACGGAGTCTGTGCTGGGCAACATGGGAATGCTGGGGTTGAGTGGCTGCTCTAGGCCACCTTCTCATCTGTCCCCTCTCCTCTGTCTGGATCCAGCACTGCCCGTGCCCCTGGCAGGAGCCCTGGTGTTGCCCCCTGTGCAGAGTCAGGCAGCAGGGCATGCCTGGCTCTCCCTGGATACCCACTGTCACCTGCACTATGAAGTGCTGCTGGCTGGGCTTGGTGGCTCAGAACAGGGCACTGTCACTGCCCACCTCCTCGGTCCACATGGGATGCCAGGGCCCCGGCGGCTGCTGAAGGGATTCTATGGCCCAGAGGTGAGGATGTGATTGGAAAATATCTGCTTTTTAGCTTAAAGGTGTGTGTGTGTGTGTAAGCAGAGAACAGGCTGCCTGGTATGGCAGAGCTGGCATGGGCTCAGGAGTCAGACAGACTGGGCTGTGGACCTGACCCAGCCTTTTATTATTCATCCTCTTTCCTGCGTCCTTCTCTGGTGGGATCCCTTGAATTGTATGTAATATCCTGGACCTCCAGGGGAGTAGGTGGGGTGGCCAAGCCCCCGGAAGTAGATGGGTGGTCAGGGACTTGTTGTCAGAGAGACTGGATTCTGAGCTCCATACCATTGCTAATGAGCTTCGCTATCCTGGAGACCTTATTTCATTTCCCTGGGTCTCAGTTTCCTCATCTGCAAATCGGGAAGAGTAGACTCAGCCCTAGAGTGCCTTGTTCCCAGCCCTTATCCTATCTACTCACAGGCTCAGGGCGTGGTGAAGGACCTGGAGCCTGAGCTGCTGCTGCACCTGGCACAGGGCACTGCCTCCCTGCTGATCTCCACCAAGGGGAGCCCCCAAGGGGAGCTTCGAGGGCAGGTAGGCAGCAGTGGGGATGGGTCAGAGTTGGGCTGGCACCGTGTGTCTCTGTGCCACTTGCTCTTCCCCAGCCCTGGGGGGTGGAAGTATCACACTTGTTTACTGCTTGGGAGGATGAAGCCATACAAGGCACATAAATAACAAGGCTGGCAGCAGGGCACCCTGTGCCTGGCAGCGAGAATGATTGCTGGGATGAAGAGCATCCTTTTGGGGCACAGGGGCACTCAGGGGATGAGGTGTTTCTGCTTGGCGGGCTGGCTGCTGCTGGTGGAGACGCAAGGGGGAGCCCGGGCGCTGCCTCAGCTCACCTCTCCTCCCAGGTGCACATCGCCAACCAATGCGAGGTGGGCGGCCTGCGCCTGGCGGAGGCAGGGGCGGAGGAGGCCCGGAAGCCTGGGGCTCCTGAGGCAGTGGGCGCAGCTGCACTGCCCATGTTGCCCGCTGTGCCCGGCCCTGATGCCCCAGTGCCAGTCAAACCAGGCAGCCCCTGGAGAGCCCGAGACCCCAACACTTGCTTCTTCGAGGGACAGCAGCGCCCCCATGGGGCTCGCTGGGCACCTAACTACGACCCGCTCTGCTCACTCTGCACCTGCCAGGTAGGAGGCGTACTGGGGCCTGGGTTCTGGGGCAAAGGCTCCAGTCAACCTCCCACCTCTCCCTGCAGAGGCAGACAGTGATTTGTGACCCTGTGGTGTGCCCGCTGCTCAGCTGCCCGAGTCCAGTGCAGGTGCCGGACCAGTGCTGCCCTGTGTGCCCCGGTGAGTGCCATGCAGGGGTGGAGACAGTCATGGGGCTCCGCCAACGGCGGATGAGGCCTCTAAGAAGGGAAGGAGGCTGTCACCCTCTGCCTTCACTATTTTTTGGCTCCACAGAGAAACAAGATGTCAGAGACCTGCCAGGGCTGCCAAGGAGCAGGGACCCCGGAGAGGGTGAGCTGGCAGTGTATGAGCCAGGGTGGGGAACCAAGAGGCGCTGTTGGGTGGGACCAGGAGGGGGACGGTGGGGTGAGAGTATATATGGGTGGGTGAAGGCTGAGGGACACAGGTTTCAGTGACACCTGATAGGCTTCATTAGAGTGACTGGCCCGAGAATGGGCCCTGGGGTTAGAGGGTGTGGGGTTGGCCTGAGCCTGAAGCCTTGGTTTTTGGATCCAGCCAATGAGCTCAGTACTAATGGCAGCTGGCCACTGTCTGCCACCAGGCTGTTATTTTGATGGTGACCGGAGCTGGCGGGCAGCGGGTACCCGGTGGCATCCTGTCGTTCCCCCTTTTGGCTTAATTAAGTGTGCCATCTGCACCTGCAAGGTATGGCTGCTCAGTCTTCTCCAGTGCTACACCCCCGTGGGGCTGCGGAGATGGGAAGGGGCCTCCAGGAGAGGAAAAGCCCAGCCTTGGTGAGGGGGGCTCAAGGATCAAAATAATATGAGAAAGTCCTTTGGGCTTTGAGAGCTGGCTTCCTGCAGGAGAAGGGCAAGGGTGACCTGTGTGAATTCTGGCTCTGCCAGCTGACTAGCTCCATATCACCCGGGCACTTCCTGTGCCCCCCTGAGCTGCACTTTCCTCTCCCGTGAGCGGATGTGCTAGCACCTACCTGGCAGGGCTACAATGAGGATTTAGTTCAGGAATATAAAGCACCAGCCCAGGGCCTGAGTAAAAGGCCGTGGATATATTACTCGAGGTATGCGGAAGGAGAGGGAGGAAGCAGGAGTGCTCCCCCTCCTTCCTAACACCCCTCACACAATGGATCCCTACAGGGGGACACGGGAGAGGTGCACTGTGAGAAGGTGCAGTGTCCCCGGCTGGCCTGTGCCCAGCCTGTCCGCGCCAACCCCACTGACTGCTGCAAACAGTGTCCAGGTGAGGGGGGTGGGCACTGAGGCCTCTTGGGGCAGATAGGGCCCTTCACGCCTTGTCCTGGGTGAGGGGATGCACAGTGAGGGTGGATGGAAGGGACTTCTCAGCTAATTCAGCATTTCCTGAGCACCACTCTGTGCCTAGTCTGGAGCCAGGGTTCTAAACACAGTGGAAAGATGTGCATGTATTAGTGGGCTATGATGGGTTCTAGTTCCTGCCCCATCTATCCATTCATCCATCCAACCAACCAGCCAACCAACCAACCCATCCATCCACCCATCCACCCATCCACCCAATCCACCCATCCACCTATCCATCCATCCATCC